ATTGTATTTGCTACTTTCAAATTATATTACGAAATCACATTGTATTTGCTACTTTCAAATCATGTTACGGAATCGCATTGTATTTGATACTTTCAAATCATGTAACGGAATCACATTGTATTTGATACTTTCAAATCATGTAACGGGATCACATTGTATTTGATACTTTCAAATCTTGTAACAGAAGTACATTGTATCCGATACTTTCAAATCATGTTACGGAATCACACTGTATTTGATACTTTTAAATCATGTAACGGAATCACATTGTATTTGATACTTTCAAATCATGTCGCTGAATCACATTGTATTTGATACTTTCAAATCATGTAACAGAAGTACATTGTATCTGATACTTTCAAATCATGTAACGGAATCACATTGTATTTGATACTTTCAAATCATGTCACAGAATTACATTGTATATGATACATTCAAATCATGTAACGGAATCACATTGTATTTGATACTTTCAAATCATGTTACGGAATCACATTGTATTTGATATTTTCAAATCATGTTACGGAATCACATTGTATTTGATACTTTCAAATCATGTCACAGAATCACATTTTATCTGATACTTGTAAATCATGTTACGGAATCACATTGTATTTGATACTTTCAAATTATGTTACGGAATCACATTGTATTTGTTACTTTCAAATCATGTAACGGAGTCACATTGTATTTGATACTTTCAAATCATGTAACGGAATCACATTGTATTTGATACTTTCAAATCATGTAACGAAATCACATTGTATCTGATACTTTAAATCATGTAACGGGATCACATTGTATTTGATACTTTCAAATCATGTCACTGAATCACATTGTATCTGATACTTTCAAATCATGTAACAGAAGTACATTGTATCTGATACTTTCAAATCATGTAACGGAATCACATTGTATTTGATACTTTCACATCATGTAACAGAAGTACATTGTATCTGATACTTTTAAATCATGTCACAGAATCACATTGTAGCTGATACTTTCAAATCATGTAACCGAATCACGTTGTATTTGATACTTTCAAATCATGTAACAGAGGTACATTGTATCTGATACTTTCAAATCATGTAACAGAAGTACATTGTATCT